TTCTTCACATGAGAAAACTTCCAAATACTATCTAAGTGGTTTTTCAGGGAGTAGCAGTAACCTTAACAGAATTAGGAGAGTACACCAAAGCAGCATCCATGCTTGAAGATCTGACCAAGGTTGGTGTTATTAAGTCATGTACACAATTTAAATAGTAAATTCCTTTATATTTATGTACATCTGATTATGTAATAATTTACAATTTGGTTGTTAGACGAACCCTAGTGACCCTGAGGCATTCCGTTTACTTGGAGAAATAAAGTTTGAAATGAAGGACTATGAAGGTAGTGCTGCTGCCTTTAGAAGCTCAGCTAAGGTCAGTGTGCCCTAAAAAGTTGTATCATTTTAAACATGACATTAGCTTGTTTTTTTTTTTTTTCATGACATTGAATGGAAGAGATTCATAATACTGTCCACAGTTGTTGTCTATTGACTAACAGGTGTCTAATAAAATGGATTTTGATGTTTTGCGTGGTCTCACGAATGCATTGCTTGCTGCTAAGAAACCTGATGAGGTAAATCATTGCTACTTTTGAACATAGTATAAGTAATTAAGTATAGTGGTTGGCTATTAATCAAGTGTCTAAAATATCCTTGAATGATTAGATCACATTAACCATAATCGTTTCGAGGTTGTTAATAAGTTATATTTACTGTATAAATATATAGGCTGTTCAGATCCTTCTGACATCTCGCAACAATTTGGAAAAAGAAAAGGCAAATCAGGCTGATACACAGTCTCAAGTTGACCCTATTCAAGTGAGTTGCTACTTTGCCAGTCTTTATTTTCACATAAATGACAGTTTCACTATGCATATCTTTCAAAATATATATTTTTTCATCAGCAATATGTCTTCATGTAACTGGAATTTATGCACAACTAATTACTTTTTTCTTAGATTGAATTACTTCTTGGAAAAGCATACTCAGACTGGGGCCATGTCAGCGATGCCGTGTCTGTATATGATCAACTCATCTCTAGCCACCCAGATGATTTTCGGGGTTACTTAGCAAAGGTCAGAAACATTTTCCCATGCTGTCTTAAGTTTCAATTATCTATGTTTTTGGTTGAAAATGTTAACCCTGATTGTGAGTATTACATAATTTAAAGTTGCCTGTTGATTTTTGTTACTTGGTCATTTCAAATTTCTTCTTGATTTGACTTTTGTTATATATACACCTCTGCAGGGAATTATTCTAAAAGCAAATGGAAAATTTGGAGATGCAGAGAGAATGTTTATACAAGTGAGTATTGATTGTTAAATATGACAAAAGAACAGGATATAAAACATCATTTTAGCATGAAGATTTTTTCTCACAAGTGATTGGTAATTGTTTTTATTTACAGGCTAGATTCTTTGCACCAGAGGGAGCCAAGGCAATTGTGGATCGTTACTCGAGATAATAATGGTTAGATGGCACATTTTAGCATAGTACAATTGTTGTGCAAGTCTTGAGGTTGTCTTATGTGGATTCTGTAAAGTATAAAGACTTGAACATGAGGCAGCTGCTTATATAGTGGTACCATGATGGCCTACTTTGTCATTTTTTGATCAGCAGTAAGCAATAATATGTATTCGTTAATTGTTGCTGATTGGGGAGATCATGCAAAGTAATGTGACTTTGTAATATCTCCCAAACATAAGGGCAATATAGCTCAACATGTTTAGTCCTCTTGTGCAACTTTTGCTATGTAAATAGTTGTCCATGCTGGGGAATTTGTGTTGGTACAACGTAGTGTAGTGATAATTAAAATCTTGGAAATCAAATTGGATTGTGTTAGACACTTTCCTTGAGTAGTATTTCGACCCTTATGTGTTTAGGTTCATGAAATCTACTAGGAGATGATGCAATGAAATGCAATTTCTAGGTCATACATTTCATCCCCTAGATAAGTCCCATTAAATAAAAATGGAAGTAACTATATCATTTCCTCATGATATCCCCATATTTCACTAGAACTTGGTCCTTATCGTCTTTAATATACCTTAGAGTTCATATGCCTCTATTCATCCTCTTTGGATTTCATGAGCTTGTAGATACCATTTCTTTCTTTTTGTGTCAAATCTCATGTAAATCCCTTCATAAGCCAAAGCCTTTGCATCTCATGTAAATCTCTTCATAAGCCAAAGCATTTGCTTTATCCACACTTTTGTTTTCTTTGCTTCTCAATTTTGGCCTCATCTTTCCTTTCACCCTAGCTCTTTCCCTATTCTTGCTACTAAAAAAAACCCCTTAAAGCAAGTTTGTTTACCTTCACATTATCTTTGACCTCCTTGTTCGACCACCAAGACTCTCTATGCTCTATGGCCTTCCCTCAGGGCCGACCTTATGTAGAGGTTTTCTAAGTTAGGGCTTACGGCCATCAATTCTAAGGAGTCTCATATTTTCCAAAGTCCAAAAGTTTAGTCATTCGGTAACCACAAAATAAATCAAGCAAAATAATAAATCAACGGTTGCTGCACTCATGAAACTGAAACAATGTTACATTCTTCTATTTATTTGATAATTGTGACACATTCATCTCATCCGTTTCTGATTTCCGAGTGCAATACGTATTTGATAGGAATTATTAAAGGGGTAAAAAGGGTAATTCCTAAATAGAGTTTGTTAGAGGTCTGCTAATAAATAGAGGGTAGGATTGCATTGTTTGAGAGGAAGAAATATCTTAGATTGTTGTTAGTCTCTAGAGTGAGATTGGCTCATTGGCTAGGCCTTTGAGAGGGGGATTCATCCCTGGGCAATCATCCTATCAGGAGATTGTGTTCTCTATCTTGTTTCATTCAATCATCAATTTCAATTCCAGTTTTCGTTATCAATCATATATTGTTGTTTGTTCTGTTTCAATTCTTCATCATTGGTCCGACCTGCCTTGACCTGCCGGAGTTGAGTAATGATGGTACCACTAGTGGTGGACACTAGATCTGTCTCTCAGCGACTGGATCATCATGATAAGCAAATAACAAGGATTCATGAAGACATTGAGGAAATCAGGACCGCTATGGCCTCAATCCAGACCGCTATGGCCTCAGAAAGGGCAGAAGAGGCTGCGTTTCGTGAAGTAATGTTGGATTGGATGAAGCAACAGGATCCAGAGTTCTTCTCAGATATTAGCATTGTTTCCGATCCGACTGGGAAATTACTAGCGTCGGTGGTTGATGATGCTTCTAGGGATACGTCCGGCATGGTTAGCGGTTTCCAATCTCATCCTACTTCCGGTGTCGTTTCGGTTGCATCGATGGGATTGCCTTCGATGGAGAAGAAGATCAAGCTAAATTACCAAAATTCGTCTTCTAGAGTTCCAGATTCCTCATGTACTTCTCCGGTCACCCCTATACTTATGAGTGAAGGTTCGTTGTGTTTCTCTGGTTGCAATTCCACTCCGAAGTCATCAAAGGTGGTGGAGAGCTTGCCATGGAAAGCGAATAGGAACGGTTATGAGCAGCTGGATACGATCAAACAATCATCATCGGTTCATGAGTCTGCGATACACTTGTTAACCTTCTCTGATCCGAAACCAGAGGGGGGGAATTTGGGTCCGGCAAAATCTTCAACGACCGGAGCAACATACGAGCATCATCCAGGTATACTTTCGATAAGGACGTTGACGGAGTGCAAAGGGAGCTTCACGGAAATAACGGCTCCGTTAAATGATGGATGGGAGGAGGGTTATTTAGGTCAACACAATAATGGGCTTAAAAATGATAAATGGGCTGGAATTATATCTATGGGCCAATCTAATTTGAATCAGACAATGGGCCTATCTAATCAGGAGAAAACAAGCCCTAGTGCATCTAAAACAACGGTAACACATTTACCCCCTTCACTGCTGTCCACATACTCATCATTCCTGTCGGTATCAATTTCACCGTTTCCTCACAGGGAGTTACAAGACGAAGGTCCTTCACTAATAATTTCTTATCTCCCATCACCATTCACACAATCATACCAACTAAATCCTTTCCAAAGTCTTTTCAGTCCTCAAAGTCACCCTTCCTTGATTAAATTTCATCAAGAAACGCTTAAAGCCTCATCTAACTCAAGTTTCCAGTTTTACCCTTGTGCACGAGTCAAATGGGGCTTCCTTTACGATCATGAAAATGGTTTGACCAAGTTAAGGTATTTTCAAAACTATAGAAATTACAATTCTAAGTTTCATGACACGTGTAAACTTGAATCTAGTAATTATATGCATACCCTTGGGGAACCACCGCCTCATGTGTTGTCAATAACTGATTGTGGGGAAGATGGGTTAAATTCTGAAGAGAAATCTTTTAAAGATGTTCAGGAGATTCTAATTTCAAATTTCAATGAAACTTGTGATTGGTCTCTAATGGCAAAAATGATGGGGAAGAAAACAAGTAAGGCTACTCGATTGTTGGTCAAAAAGCCCCGAATTATTAATGATCTCATCACTGAAGGCTATATTTTAGATGCATGGATATGTGATGAGGGGAATTTAGACATGGTTTTTGGAAGGGTTTGGCTCAAAACCTCGAGTGAGGTCGATCAAATCAAGGACAAGTCAGTGATATGTTTGTGGTATCAAGGAGTGTCGGCTCATCTTCAAGGGCTAGTTTGGATAGTACTGGAAGCAGTGAGTCATCATCGTAGGGAGCAGCCTAGTTGGTGGCCAAATGGAATTTTTTTGGCTAAGTTTTGGTATGTTGCCAACTTCGGGGGATCCATGAAGCTTACATATGAGATTATGTATGGCCGAAAACCACTAATGGAAAGTCAGTGGTACAGTGCGTACCAAGAGGGATGCGCGTCAAAGCAGGATCTGTAGTTTATACGTTGAATTTCTCTTCCTTTATCAAGATGCAACTGATCCTTCTTACTTCATCGCTTACAAAAGCAACGAGTTCTCTCTTTGAACAGGTTTTACTATCAGAACGAGAATTGAGTGCTTCGGATTGGAGGATCCCCATTGCTACACCGTAATCTGATGGAAATGGCGCACGACTGAGAAGGCTATAGAGGAGGAAACATGGGCAATTAAGAGTCAATTTCTTGAAGCAAGTCTTGAGGTCAAGACTTTGTTGAAGGGGGGGAGTAGTGATAGGAATTAGATAGTTAAATACTTAAAGGGGTAAAAAGGGTAATTCCTAAATAGAGTTTGTTAGAGGTCTGCTAATAAATAGAGGGTAGGATTGCATTGTTTGAGAGGAAGAAATATCTTAGATTGTTGTTAGTCTCTAGTGTGAGATTGGCTCATTGGCTAGGCCTTTGAGAGAGGGATTCATCCCTGGGCAATCATCCTATCAGGAGATTGTGTTCTCTATCTTGTTTCATTCAATCATCAATTTCAATTCCAGTTTTCGTTATCAATCATATATTGTTGTTTGTTCTGTTTCAATTCTTCATCAATATTCATCTCCTATTCTTGTGACTTCTCTCTTGATTCTCAATTCAAATCCTTATCGGTATGTGTTTCACTTTCTTATTCGATTATTGTTAGATTGTTTTTCTTTTCTTAATCTATTATAGTATTCTTCTATCTCTATTCTCTATTAGAAGATTTCTACATGGATTATCATTTATTGACATGGATATGACTAAAATCACATCTTATAACAATTTGTTTATGGATGTTATGACACAATATGGGATCTTTGCATTGCTTTTCAGTTATTTTATGGCGTCCATAATGATGGAAAACTATATGAGAATTTGATGCATAACAACTTTAGAAGGTACGATTTGGGAAATAGTTTAAGAATCAATTAAGGATTTCAAGTTGTTCACCTAGAATAACCAGGAATCCTTGAGCATACTCAATGTTAAAGAAAACACAATGTAGGGGTGATTTGCTTCTTTAGATCACTCTTAATTACTTTATTTGATTAAAATATAGCTATGTGATTGAACTATCTAGTCCTAAATACCATAAACTCTTGATAGTGAATGGCAGGTTTTATTAACAAGGTTGTTATATACTGTTTGTTATATTAGGTGTTATAAGAATAATATGTAAATTTTTATCAAATGCTTGTTGATTTAGGTTATTATAACAAGAAAAGTCCTTTATACCATACTAAAATTGTTCATGAAGAAAACATAAAGGATGAACTTATATGTGAATACAATTTAGGAATATAGTAAAGACCAAAGGTCTTCAAATTTTTTGTTCCTTTAGAGCCTCCAAACTAGTTGAGCCGCCCCTATCTTCCCTGTCGACACACCAAAGTGCTTCTGGCCGCCTCTTTGATGGTGTTGGGCTGTTGGGCACATTATTCATTGAGTGGATGGTTTCAAAATCCACTTATGAAACAACCCTTCCTTAATCCTCACGTGCCACACCCTTTAAGTCGTTTTAAAGAGTCCTTATTTTAGCTACCATAGCTACCCTTTGTACACTTATACACAAGCGTATGGCCACCACTGTGCATGCCTGATATGGGAACACTTTGCAATCTATGCATGAATGAAGGTCTTGTTACATATCAGAATGTCGATTTGGGTGCATTGTAATCAAATTGCACATTCTAAGAATACTACCTTGGCATCCTTTTTAATTTAAAACTCATGAAGAGCACTACTTTTTTTATTTTTAAAATAAAGAAGTTGCAATTATTAGGTATATGATTATAAATTATAATCAATTTGTAAGTATTAAAAAAAAGCAAGTGCTACAATTGTTCACTTTTATTTTTATTTTTTATTTTTTTTCTTCAAAAAACCAGTAATTATTTAGATTTATTAAAATATCGTAAAAGCCATCTTAGAATTATAAATAGTGCCTTCTTAAGGACTTCATGAATATTTAAGTTAAAAAAGTTTTATGGCTTTTATAGAAAGTTAACAATTCCTAGATATCTTTTTTGTTTTGCTTTCAAAATAAAAGATACTAAGATCACTTTTATGAAAAGTTATAAAATCATTTTCATAGATTTTCTTTCCAATAATAATTTTTTGGATTGAAAAAAAAGCAACATATAATTTCTCTCCTAGCATTTTAATATTTCTTATTAATTTATTTATTTTAAATTACCTTTTAATTAAAAACTCTATCAACAAATGTGCATCTACGGTTATCGGTATTCCTCTGGAAAGTCACTGTAAACAAAGTACGTAACGTAGCCCAAAAGGGTCCAAAATGTGAAGAGTGGACCGAGTAAGTTCGGCATTTTGGGCAGAAAAACGAAATGGGTTGATATGGGCCGAAAACGATAACCCTAAGTCCCTAACCCGTCGCCCACAGCATCACTAATCCTTTCGCTACAAAAATTGAAACTGACAAATGATAGCTTCGAGACTGACGTCGGTGGCTGCTAACGGAATATACGACACGAGTCCATAACCTAATAATATCTCTTTCAAACCGGGACGGCGGACGACGACGACCTGAAACCAAAATATCTACACAGACGACGGAGGGTGGGGGGCTCACCACCCTAACAAAATGACCCAAAAATCTCCATCCCAGCCCCAGGCACATATTTTCCTCCCTCTTTTTAGCATAATTTTCACGCCTGAAAATATCTATCTGCTTTCCTTATGTAATCTAACGCTTTTTTATTTTATTTTCTTTTTTGCTTTTCTTTTCAATGGACCAGCAGCGAAAGAGCTTTTGCACAATGGCTGATGTTTATGGAGTGATCCTAGACTCTCCGAACCTCCATAAGAACCTCGACCTTGTTTTCTTGGGTCCTCATCACGCCAAGGACGACGATTCGTTTCAGTTTGATTTTAAACTCCCCGATATTCGACGACCAATCACTGTAAGTTTTACTCTATTTTACCCAAAATCTCGGTGATCAACACTAGCTATTGTCAAATTCACGCATGCACACTGATCTTACACTTCGATTTGGTTTTTTCCCAATTGATTTGGAATTACGCTACTTTTCTGATTATGTTCGTTTTTGAAGTTGAAACGCGGTAATATATGATTTGATTGCATGTCTCTTGAACCACATTCCGATCACTTTTTAAAAGCATCTATGCGCGTCTTCTTGATTAGTTTTGCTAGCGCCAATTTGTTTTTACAAATTGAATCTAAATATCTAAACTTTGGCTCAGAAATTCGTAAGGACAAGAGAAGTAGGAGAATTTCTTAGTGGTGCTTTAGCAGGTGCTATGACTAAAGCTGTTCTTGCTCCTCTTGAAACCATCAGGTATGTCTTCACTCTTTAAATCCTTAGATACAGTTAAAAAAAACACAGAAAATTTACATGAGATTAATACAGGACGAGAATGGTGGTTGGTGTTGGATCGAGAAAGATATCTGGTAGTTTCTTGGAAGTGATTGAAAAACAAGGTTGGCAAGGACTTTGGGCTGGAAATGCAATCAACATGATACGAATTGTTCCAACACAAGCAATCGAACTCGGAACATTTGAATGTGTGACACGAGTAATGACATCAGCCAAAGAGAAATGGAGCAAAGAAGATCCAAGTGTGCAGATTGGTCATGTCAAATTAAGTTTTCCCCTCTCATGGTTGTCTCCGGTTGCCCTTGGTGGTGCAGCTGCCGGATTTGTGAGCACCCTTGTCTGCCACCCTCTTGAAGTCCTAAAGGTAACTAAGGGTCCCATCAGAACTCTGTTGTTAAGCATGCTAAAGCAATACAAATGGTATCAGATATTGATGTTTTTTTTTTTTTTTTTTCTTGTATACACAGGATCGGTTGACTGTAAGCCCGGATATATACCCTAATTTGAGCATTGCAGTTTCAAAAATCTATAAAAATGGTGGGATTGGTTCTTTTTACTCTGGTCTTTCTCCAACGTTAATTGGAATGCTGCCATACAGCACTTGTTACTATTTCATGTACGACACTATCAAGAAGTCATACTGCACAGCTCAGAACAAAAAAGCCTTAAGCCGACCGGAGATGTTACTTATAGGAGCTCTTTCAGGTTTGTGTTTTTATTTTCCATTACTAGATATATTTTGTTTGGTCCTAGGTTTGACTAAATGGTTTGATTGGTCGTAGGTTTGACTGCAAGTACTATAAGTTTTCCTTTAGAGGTTGCAAGAAAAAGGCTGATGGTGGGAGCATTGCAAGGGAAGTGTCCACCACACATGGCGGCTGCACTTTCGGAAGTGGTGAGGGAAGAGGGGTTGATTGGGTTATATAGAGGATGGGGTGCAAGTTGTTTGAAGGTGATGCCATCATCTGGTATCACATGGATGTTTTATGAAGCTTGGAAAGACGTATTGCTTGGTGACAAACATCGAGAATAATATTATGTTGAGTTAACCAAGTTTTAACCTGATGTACCAAAATGTTCTCTTTTATTTTTTTTTCTAATCAAGAAGAGAGCACTTTAAAGTTTAAAATATGGGTGTTTGAATGTTGGTTAGAGCGAGTTATGTCATCATGTTTGTCTCTCATCCCAGGTTTGGTCTTTTGCATTAGTTTATCAGGTCATGAACTTGACCTCTCATCTCAAAATACAAATTATAAGTAATTTTGGTCACTTAGCCAGACATAGGGGTGAACATTTTGACATGTGGACCGAACCAGACCGTACCGTTTTTTTTGGACCCTCGGGCCGGTTCTCGGTTCTAGGAATTGAGCAAATCCGGTTCAGTTTTTTTACCAAGTCGGCCGGTTCCGGGTAAAAACCGGTTTGGACCGGTTTATTTTTCTTTTAAAAAATTGTATTATGTGAAATTCTTGAAACAAACTTATCTTTTAAGTCAGATTTTCGTGCAGTTTTTTCTAATGTCTAATTTAGAGTTTATATATGATTTTAGATTATATTTTTGTTTTTTTAAGTGTTATATTCGATGAGTTAAATTATTCAAAAATGAGATATTAAAATTGAAATATTTCAACTTTTCAACAAGAAATTTAAAATTTTGTATTATGTAAATATCTTTAAACAAACATATCTTAATTGGTTTTAAATCGGATTGACATGTGATTTTTTATAACATGTAATTTAGAGTTTATAGATATTTTTTACTATAAATTTGTTGTTTTCCGTGTTATATTTTATGAGTTACAATCCTTCAAAGATGAGATATTACAGCTGAAATATTTAAGCTTTTCAGCAAGAAATTTAAACTTTTGTATTCTATAAAATTCTTTAAACAATTATATTTCATTGTTCTAAGTCGGATTGATATGCAATTTATTACAATGTATAATTTAGAGTTTGTAGATGATTTTAGATTATAATTTCGTTGTTTTTAGTGTTATATTTGACGAGTTATAATCCTTCAAAGATGAGATTAAAATTGGAATATTTTAGTTTTTCATCAAAAAATTTATATTTTTGTATTTTGTGAAAATTTTCAAACAAGCATATCATATTTGTTATAATTTTGTTGTTTTTAATGTTATATTCAATGAGTTATAATCTTTCAAACAAATGATATAAAGTATAAACAATAAAAGTTTGAACGGTCCAAAAAGCACAAGAAACGGAAACATATTTATTTTTATGAGTTGTACCGTATCAAACCCAAAAGGTAATCATTTTGACTAGTTGTTATGTATCAAACCCATCAACATATTCACTTTAATGAGTTGTATCAAACCAAAAACGCATTTGAACAAATTATACCGTATGCATGTAAAGTTGTACCGGTTCAAATGTGTCCAAGAACCGGAAAACCCGGACTTGGACTCAGTCACATCACAGACCCGGTAATTCTCATCCAGTCCAGGCGATGGTTCAAGAGCTGGTTTGTTCCGATCCAAATGTTCAACTCCTAGCAAGACGTCAAAATAGCAACTCGTGATCGGTACCACATTGGATGTGTAGTTATAAAGGACATATGGGAAACTGCGACGCATTTTATTTTATTAATGAACCTTTAGTGGTTTAGTGATGCTGTAAGTTGTAACACGTATCTTCGGACCTATGTCATGAATATGAATGTGGACACATGTCACCGCATTACCTCCATGTGCTCGGTTGGGAATCCATCCACATGTAGCAACATGAGATTTAATATCCACACAACATATTTATATAAACACTTGTAAAACATGCAAAGAACAATGCGTACAATAATTTGGTATTGTGACAACTGACATCTTTTATTAGTTCTCAGTTAATTAGGGAGGTGTTGGACCTTTTTTTTGAGGTTTGCGTATTTAGAAGTTCAAAGTGGGAAAGTAAAACTCAAACAAAAGTTAGTTGTGATGTTCATAATAATTACAATATTTTATAAAATTTAAAATTTAAAAATATTTTTTTATTTTAATCTTTAAAATCAATTGAAAATTGTATATAAACGTCACGTCAACACCATATTGGCCACTTCAGTTGACCAAAATGTCATGTAAAAGCATACTCGACAAATAGACGACCCATTTATTTTGAGAATATTCCTCTATTTAACCAAAATTAAAAAGTTTTAGGAGACACAACAGAAAAAATAAAATAAAATAAATCCAATGATCATTTAAAACCAAAGACCAAAGTTTCGTTGGAAGATAAATGACCCTACAATGATATTAACCCTAGCCCTCAGACTCTATTTTGGGGGAAGAAAAGACTAGAAAAAAAACACAAAGTTCTATCTTTGTGTGCATGTATTCATATTGTAGATGCAATTTTGAAATATATCAATTTTGTATAAGCAAAAACTAAATTTTAGGGGTCCGTGCACTTTATATCGGTCATGTGGTGTCTTGAAAGTTGTACAATAATATAATGTACCTCTTTAGATATTTTAGACAATGACTATCATAGATGGGTAATAAAAATATCGAGAAAAATGTATTATGAAGAGTTTGCTTTTCTATAATTATATATTTTTATAACTAGTTAATGATTCTATTAGATTTAAGTCAATTATTACACTTTTGGCCTATATAAAAGATTTAGATGACCTACTAAACATGCAGTAGATATAAAATTTTCTAAAGTAATTTATGTCTAAAAATAAACTATAGTATATTTTTAGTTTTAAAATGTTATGATTTTTGTGTATTTGAAATAACTTCAATAATTCTTAAGAATACTAAGAACCTCAAAAACTAGTCGAAAAAGCCAAAACGACCAAAAGGAAATTTGTGGAGTACGTCAAGACTTATACGGATTTATAAGATTCATTGAAAATGAAGTTCGTATGCGATGGTTACGGAATTTCTAATTTTGATTTTTACCGTCGTCCGCACCCGCACGTAAACGGACACTCGATCCGTCTGGATAAGGGGTGACGTGGCATAAGGAGAGGACGACACATGGCAACCCTATAACATCCCAAAAAATAAGATCCAAAAATTCCATTTTAAATTAATAAAACCAGTATTCTAGAAACATCATCATAAGAATTCCAATAAAACAAATGTGTCAATCATCACATCACATCAGAGTAAGGTAAGAAAATGCGGAACAAGATGGTGCGTGCTTTGCAATCATCTCGAACTATTCCATTTGAAAACAGAAGTACCTGAAACATAAACTGAAAACATAAACATAAATCTTAGTGAGTTCCCCAAAATACCAAACACCATACATACATTTGCGATGACTACCCCCATGGTCTTTTCCCTGAAATGCCCTGGGCTACCCCCAAGGTCTGACGTCCAAGTGTCATGGGCTACCCCCATGGTCTTTCCTTGAAATGTCATGAGCTACCCCCATGGATTTCCATACAAATGTTATGAGCTATCCCCGGGGTCTTCCAATCAAGTATCACAAATACAACTAGCATTCAGCATAACAAGTAATGGGTCGACATTGGTGGCTTCGACCCATGAACATAGTGAGAAAACTCACCTCGCACTACTGAACCACATTGATAACTTCCTAGCTGTTGGTCCAACAAATCCCAAAGCTATCAGTATCAAATAACATCCAATTAACAATTGAATTCCAATCTATAACCATCATACCATAATTAGGATAAATGACCAATTTACCCCTTGCCTAGTTTGGACCAAGACTTAAGCCCAACCCTAATAATCCAAAAGGACCAAATACCAAATAATCATACAAGGCCCAAACATGGCCCAATTTTCCAAATTGGGCCCAAAGCCTTCTATGGGACTTAATCCAAGGTTCAACAACATTCTTAGTCCAAACACTTAAATTCTGATGGCCTAACAAGGCCCTGACATCTAGGCCCAAACCGAAGACCAAAAGATTTGAGGCCCACTCTACTGAGTACGCGGGGCGTACTCAGCTGGTACACGCAACGTACTTGCCTTAGGACTTATTGGTCGACATAAATAGGGTTTCAAATGACAAGCATAAATCAAAACATCATAAATGAAACATTTTTCCTTTCACCACATACTAACTTCTAACCAATAACCACCCGTTTATGTCTTTAACTTTTAACATACTATACTTAATTTATTAGATTTAATATGTTGTTGTATGTAAACCATTATCAGTTTAAAGCTACAACTTTTGAGCAGTTTGAATAAATTACTTAAAATGTTAATTTAAATATATCATTACAGGGTCAACTTAAGTATAAATTTTAGTTTCATTTAAAAAAACTCAAAAAATATTTTGTAAATAGTTAACAGTGATAAAATCATAGTACTAAATACGAAAACTAAATTGTAATATCAATTTAACTAAAATATTTCCTAAATATATTTTTATAACACTTAAAAGTTTTCAAATAAGTAACTTAAAATAGATGCAGTTATAATAGATGTATATATTATCATATAATTCAAAATAATCAATATATTATATGAATTTAATATGTAGTTATAATAGATGTATATATATTATCATATAATTCAAAATAATCAAATATATTATATCAATTTAATATACGAATTATTATATCAAATTTAATAACGTTATTGTTATATTAAAAATAAACATATATATATATATATATATATATATATATATATATATATATATATATATATATATATATATATATATATATATATATATATATATATATATATATATATATAGGTGATATAGGTGATGCGCAAGGCGCAAGCATTAGGTATTATAAAACCACAGTAATCACGGAGTCAAGCTTACTAGTAGGAGATTTCGTCTTCGATCAAGGGTAAGCATTACCAAAATTACTTGCTTTGTCAAACAAGGAAAAGAAAGGTCTACCGTTTAGTTCTTTCTATTATTAAAACCATAGTAATCTTTAGAGTTCTACTCCTGCTCAATCATATACCTATTCTTCCACAGACATCAATAAGCTAATTATTGGGTTTAATGGTTTATATTTATGCAATTCAATATTGAAGTGTTGATTTTTCTGCTTTTGTTACTAAGTAGATCAGATCAGAGCTTAAAATGTTTTGGTGTTTCTTCAAACTAGTTACAACACAAATTCAAAATTTTGATGGGTTATTTGGTGTCTGCATTTTTAATTAAGTAATTGTATTAGTTCTTTTTTGTTTATTAATATTGTCAAAAGAACTTTGTTTTTCTTTTACATTTCTGTGATTGAGTAATTGCATTCGTTCCTTTTTGTTTATTAATTTTGCCTAATAGAAAAGAAAGTTACATTCTTATCTTATATTAGAGATTTTTTAGATTAGACATGTACTAATGTACAAATCATACTTCAATCTTTTTTCTTTCATTATGGGTTTATTAGTTTAGATCAGACATTATTTGATGATGTATAAATCCATATATATGATTGCATGAATTTGTGAATCATGAAACATTTTCTGCTTTCTAGCATAGTTTTGTTTTGTTTTTAGTCATGACTCATATAAATATATAATGGTATGAAACCGATTATATTTCATAATAATTAGGGGTGCAAATGAGCCAAGCTGCCCGCGAGCTACTCAAGATCGGCTCGTTAAAAGCTCGAATGGAACCCGGTTTTAAACGAGTCTGAGCCGAGCTCGAGCTTAATATTAAGCTCGTTTATTAAACGAGCTCGAACTCGAGCCTATGTCACTAAGCTTGATTAGGCTCGCGAGCCTAAACGAGCCTTTATATAATATAATTTATTATTATTTTCATATAGTAAAATAAAAACATATTTGGGAAATTATGGATTTCAGATATTAGTAAACGAGCTTGAGTTGAGCTTAAGCTTATCTAGGCACATCAAACGACAAACGAGCCGAGCTCAGGAAAAGAAAGCTCGAATCGAGCCGAGCTCGAGCTCGAGCCTTGTATAACTTAAACGAGCCCGAGCTGAGCCTGACCATGCTCGAGGTCGGCTCGGCTCGTTTGCACCCCTAATAATAATAGGCAGATAAAGTGATTTAAAATAAATTGATGGTTTCTTTAGGGTTTGTTTGAACCCGGTGTTTTATTTTCATACATATATAGTTGTCCCTTGTTTATAACTCTTGCAACTTATATGAAATTTGCTTTACCAAGATTTATATATATTTTTTTAGATGTAGTAATTAATGGGTAACAAGGAACTGTGATGCATCTCAATGGAGGAGGATGAGTACTTGTGAGGACAAATGGTCAAATCTTAACCATGACGTGCTCTATTCAATTATAATGCGACTCAGAGTTGTTGAATTTCTTTCGTTTAGCAGAGTTTGCAAGTCATGGAGGTCACTCGCACTCTCCAACAGGAAGATGTTTATGGCATCCAAACCCCCCATGGCCATGCTTCTTTATAAGAATACATGCTACCTTCAAGACTTTAAAGGAAGAGAGTTCAAAACCATTCTTCCCCTTTCTGTTGATATGATATGTATTGGAATAACTTGTGGTTACTTGATTTTTATGGGCGAGAAAACCCGCAACTTATGTTTTGAGAGTCTTATCATAAGGCATGAACTTCCATTTCCCTGATGTCCCCTTTGACGTTGGTCATCATGAAGAAAGTAGACACGTGAGGGTTATCATTGTCTTTTCACCTTCAATAAATGGACGAGTGTTTGTTATGTTAATTAGATTCAAAAATATGGTTTTCTATAGCAGGTAAAAGGAGCACCAAAGCGCTTCTGGCCCAGCGTTATTTGATGTTGTCCTCTCTCCTTAAAATCGATGGTTCAAGTGTTGTTAGGAACATATGTAGATTTAGGAGAATAGTTTAGTAGTAGAAAACCTTTATTTGATACACATTTTATGGAGTCGGTTTTTTTGGCTTTCGATTTAATTATTTCGGATGAAAACCTTTATTTGATGGAATACTTGGCCAAAATATTTTCACAAACTCAGATTTTGACCAATTGAATTGGGTGCCTTGTGAAAAGCATGGTGCTGTTGTTAAACCAGAGTCATGGGATTCCCCATCATCACAATACATGAGATTTTTTGGCATGGATAAATCCTGGAAAAGGTAGCTGTCTTTTTTCAGAAATTTGGTACTTCCCCCATGATTGTTTGAATGTAACTCAACTCTCTTGATGAATGGACTTGTTAGCTATTTTTCTTTTAATTTTCATGTGTTTGAATGGTTTATCATGATTTGGATTTTTCAATCTATACAGACAATTAGGTCGGTATTCCCTCTTTGATTCAGCTGGAACAACTTTCAGTTATCTCCCTTTTATGTGATTAAAAAAATGTAGTTCAGACAAAGCGTGTATTCAAGTTGACCTTTAATCCCAGAACAAATACATCTCAAGTTGGATACAAAATTCCAAGAAGGCATTTGCATTTCTAACATAAATTCTTGGATACTATTTGTAATCCTTAACTCCTTTCCCTCAAATACTTGAATTTGCAGAAGATACACAAAGTGTTGAAACTATGTGCTATCTAGTTCATCATTAGGGCTATCTCTTCTCCAGCAAAATTTAGATGAACACGAGCCAAACAATGATGAATTTTCAGCAAGAATATACAAACAAAACAAGCACAGTCCTGTTGGCAAACTAACAAATCAGCACCTGACTTTGCTAAAAACTAGAAAACAAAAGTGGGAGAGATAAATAAGTTGCCACATACCAGCATAAGCAACAGTAACACCTGAGACTATTCTTCCCAAAGCTGATAGCATATAAAGGATCACAACCACCTATACACAATGAGGAATTTACAACTAGTTTAGAATCACAGACTATTTCAAACAGTTAGTTATGTATTTGTTGATAATAACCTTAACTAATGCCTCTAAGTATTACCTTAGCCTCATCAACATTATTGTTTGTACCATTTTCAACATCTCCATTATGATTTCTAGCCTGTTTACCTACTTAATAACATCAATTTAACTATAGCCCACATACTGTTTCTCTCTAAACCTGTCACGAAGTTGATAATAATCATACCCTTTTACACATGCTAAACACAGGGCTTCCTAATTTTTGCAATGATGGAAGAATGCTACACAATGTCTCAACCTAGGGTTTCACAGGTAGTGCATATCTTTAAGGCCTTATACCTGATTGCAATTAGATGAGACAGCCTTGCAGCAGAACACGATAATACTCGTGAAAAGAAAGAGAAATGCTGTTGAGTGATTGATTACCTTTAGAAACAGGCGCTTGTCATGGCCAGTTGCAGCAACCCTTAGAACAGATTCAGCTGCACCTACGGTATTAGCCAAGCACGCAAACAGGCTGTTTGCAGTATCCTGAGATATCTGCCATTCAAGTGGATCCACAGGCACTCTGCAATATCAGAGGATAAGTATTATTAAAACATAAGAAGAACTCCTTTTCCGATCTCAACAATACCTAGGATGGAATCGATCCAATACGCATACTACCATGGAAAGTCAAACTCACGGGTTATCTTAGGTATAATTGTAAGCGGATTGCTGGGAAAAAAACCTATTACATAAAAATTGGGGGAATTGAATTGTTGCTGTATTGGATTTGATTTATAACAAGAATCAGTAGAAACAGAAAGTGAAAGACGTACTGGATGTTCATCTGGCGGAAAAGGAGGCCGAGGATGGCGAGGGAACAAAGGAGGACGATGAAGACGTCGGAAATGAGTGATATGATGCTTGAATCACGATATGCGCAGTGGTAATACACCAACGTACCACACATCCCGACTATCAACGGCTTCCCTCTCCCTATTACTGCTGCTGCTCCCAACTCCTTCCTGTTGCCGGCCCTCTTCCTTCTTGTTACTCCCAATCCATCATCGTTTTCACTTGCTCCGCCTCCGCCTCCGCCTCCGCCGCCGCCGTTGCTGTTGAGTTCATCCATGGCCGCAGTTGTCTTCAAGAGACGGAATAAATTTGCTCAGTTACTCTCATCATCATCATCCAACGCATTAATAGTTTAGATTTAGAAACTGGAATAGTTGTTGAAGACCTTAAAGTGGGCCGTCTTGGTCGAAAATGGAGTTCTAATTTTCGGATTTCACTTTGGTCGAAAATGGAGTTCTAATTTTCGGATTTCACTTTGTGCCCTTTTATAATTTTCTTTTTCTAATTTTATCCTTTAACAAAAAGTTTTATCGAATATAGTAACTGTTTTTTATATTATAACTATCATCGGAAAAATAAGCAAAATGACCCTATTTTTCAAAAAAAAAAAAAAAAAAAAAAAAAAAAAAAAAAAAAAAAAAAAACTATATCACAATATTTTCAGAAATAGTGCCTAGAAAGAACTAGATTTACAAAAATAGTCTAGAAATACTCCATGTATTGAGATTTACAAAGTTACAAAAGGTATTTCAAAGAAATTAAGAATTATAGAAATGGTCATACAAACAAGAAATGAAATATCCTTCTATATTTTTTCTCCTATCATCTTCTTACACATTTAAGATTATCACATTTGTCATATTTAATAAATTTAATAGATGGTCCCCATATAATAACAAGAATACATAAATAGACCATACGAAATATCTAAATTGAAATTGAAGACGTGGTCAACGCATAATATCATATCGAAAAAAACGGTCATTATATTACATAAATAACAACATTAATAATAGTCATTATGTAAATAGAAATGATCCTTGTGTAATGTCGAAGTTATAAAAACGATCCATGTGTAAAACAAAATTAAACTCATGGATCATGCATAATAGCAAAGTTATAGAAATGATATTCGGTGTGGCTTTTTGTCTAACTTACCACCATGCCATGGGGTGGTGTGTAAACCTTTCGGACATGGTCGAATTGTTGTTTTCAGTGATTACAATTTCAGTCGAGTTGTTGTTTTCAGTGATTACAATTTCAGTCGAGATATTGTTTAACTACTTTATTAATGATTAAATGAAAGACCAATTTCATCTTCAATTCAATTGCTAGTTGTTATTCTATATGAAATGCTAATATAAATCAACCAATGAGAACCTCAGGCTGATAAAACATTTGGTCAGGAACCTTCATTACTTGAAACTAAATCTTTCGTTTACATAAATTTATAACTTAGTGACTTAATGGTTTACAAAAAATAAATAAAAAAAAGTACCCAAAAACAAGCTTATTGAATATGTGTTGAGGCAACCAAAGCCTATAAAAATGCGCCAAAGTCCTACCAAAGCAAGTATCTAAAATACGTGCTCATGTGTAATATATACCGAATAATGTGCTTATATAGTTCATATGAAGTAAAACAAGTTTTTAACTAAACATAGTTTATAGATACTACAATTGTGAGGCTGGAATGACATTTTTCGGCAAGAAGATGTCCAAGAACTTGTAAAGTATCTTCAAAAGTATGCAAGGATTCACGGTTGATGAATTGACCATAATATCCCACAACTTCAAGCATATTGATGTGGTCATGGGGATGATTCCACAACTCAACTATGCTTCACTCATTTCTTTAGTGACTTTCTCAGCACAAGCTAAATTCCCTTCCTTAATGTAGGAGTTGTCATCCAGATAAAAACCATTGCAAGAAGATCTAAAAAGGTAGTCAAATCCATGTTTTTTTTTCTGAAAAGGGAAAGCAGAGAAACCGAGAAGAGGTTAAATACATTTATAGATCTGAAGCTTTATGAAACATAAAATATGGTTGCTAACGAGTGGTTGCAAATACAATAAGCATCAATAGAGCAACACCGAAGGAAAAAGAAACTACTAGAACGAAGATGAGAGTATGCTTTGAAGACAAAGGCAAACAAAGGGAGGAAGAGGGTTATATGAGAATAAAGAAATGTGTAAACTCAACGAAAAATTTATAATAATAAATTGGATGGTATTTTGGTCGTTAGACAACGGTCATATTATTGATAGTTTTAGTTTTAAATTTAAATACAAGAGCCATGATGACAAGTTTATATTCTAAGAATGATTGTTATGTAATGGTAAAAAATACCTTACAAAGAGAGCGAATGACTGAATCATAATCGACACAACAAAATTTAAGAAATTATCAAAGTGTTATGTGATATTTATTTTTCTTTTGCTATAGTTCTTTTAAATGAGGAAAAAAATAAAACGAGTGCTCATATGTAGTTAATTCAAATTGCAAATAAGTAATGGATTGATACAAGCTAAAAATAAGGAAGTTATGAAAATAAGAAGAAATAGGGTATATGTGACTTTCGCTTCAATGCTAAAATCGAAAAAACTCACTTTAACAGTAATGTTTTAAAGATAAACGGAAGATTAAACCTTGAAAAATGATCCAAATAAAATTAATGGTTTATATATGTATGTGTATATTTTATCCTTGTGATTCAACTATTTCTTATATTTTTTATATTTTAAACACTATAAAACATTTATATTTTATGGTGTAAGATAATATCCGGTTACAAGTCAAAAACTATATGGAACCTGATTGACTTATACTCTATATCTATATGCATTGTCAAATTCAAATGTGTATTGGTAAATAAACCATATTGATGAGACATTTATGTGTGTAGGCCCCACACAAACATATTTATCATATCATTAAGGTTCATTTCAATCTCTTTTTAAAAGAGCCAAATTTTCTATAAGTATGACAAAAGAACATTCAACATCATTAAATGAGACTACGATTCCATTATAACTGGGTAACATTATCAGTTTTTGATCCATCTATTTAAAAGTAAGATGATTTGACGTTTACACCACCTCCAAGGGTGAAAAGCAGCATCAAATTTTCAAGACAATATTTTTTCCATAAAGCATGTAATTGATGGGAGTCTTGAGATTGCTAATGCAAATGGACGTTCAATGTTCCGGTTATCCCCATGATTGGGTGGGGGATTTGTTCAAATTTCCAAAAGCCGGAAGCATAGTTAGTAAGAAAATCTGTTCATCCTATCATACAGTTTTGCACTTACATGTCAAATTGGTCGACAATAATGGCAACATCAAGTAAGAAGGTAATGCTAGATTTATATGGTCAAATAGAAGCACTTGTTTCAAATGCACCTACCCCAACCGAAGCTTCATTAACATTTTCCGGTTTTCTTGTGAAAATAAACAGCCTCCACATGTAATGTAATGTTTGGCATACAGAAAAACATAAACATACCCCACATGATGACAATAACGTGACAACTTTCAGTCGGCATTCTTTTTGATTTGTAAAGCTTATAGTAGGGAAGGGATCAAACATATTTATTTTATTCATTATTAATTCATACGGATTAAATAAAGAAAAAAAACAACAGTTGTTCCAACAACATCAGTAGTTCCAAGACTACACCCTACATGCTGCGGCTTATTTAACTCTCAACATACAAAATCCCAAAAAGAATTATAGCTAAGCACCCAAATGGACAAACCAGTAACCAGCCTTTTGAAGTTTGAATAATAAATAAATCAAACAACTAACAACAATCTCATTTCATTCCTTTCTTTCTTCCTTCATGCACTAAGAAACAAACAACCACCACTTTGATCTCGGTTTCATCTTCAAAATAATCAAATCACGTCTTCTTTCTTTGTTTGTTTACCGGGTTTCATCCTCAAGGTTGCGGAAACCAGCAGTAAGATCTTCATTTAGTTTCTTAAATTTCCCAATAAGAACATCCTCCCCTTCAGCCGGATCCTCAAACTTCTGAGACCTGTTTTGTTAATAATTATACATTATAAACACATTATTTTTTAGACCAACTCAATTTTAGTTTTTACTGGAGGAGAGAAGCGTATTTTTTTCACTTACACCAAGCGGTAAAATAGATCACCCAACCGATGCTTGATGAGCGTGTAAGTGATCTTCTGCCCATCCATACCAGCTCCTCGCTCCACTGACTGTTTATGTATAATAAAAACATATATCATTATTCTTTTTTTTTTTAAATTAACTAAAATCAAAATAAGAGAAGAGATGAGCCCACCTGATTGGCTAAATTGTAGAAATGGATAATGTTGCGCATCATCCAAACAGACTTGTAGAAGGGGCAGAACTTATCATATCTGTCACATCACATCACCACAATATAAACTTTCAAAACCATATTTATATAATATAATATATGTGTGTACATTGGTCAAACAAATTAGGTGGTGTTTGGTTAGTATGATGGAATCATGGACTCAAAGGTTCATTCCATTACCTTGCTTATCCCAATCCATCCTACCAAACAGACACTTGGTGCAAAAAAAAAAAAAACTAGTACTTACGGTGTGAATGCATTTTGAGCAAGATAGTCTTCCCTCAAAAGTTTTGCAGTCTCCAAAGTAATCTTATCAGTTTCAGCCAAGGCATCTTTCCCCACCAACTGAAACAACAATCACCACCACGTTATCCCTCCCCCTTACCAATATATAAATATATATAATGCCTCCACATAAATTCTCATTTAATATTTATGATTCCATATATAATAAAAAGCAACAAACCTGGACAATTTCATTCAGATCATCTTCTCTCTGAAGCACCTCACGAGCCTTTGTCCTAATGTTAATGAAATCCGAATCAAACTTCTCATAGTATGATTCTAGAGCCTGAACAACCAATCATTTTTCAGTAATCAGTACATAAAAAAAAAGTGACAGCTTAATTCATTTAATTTCAACAACTTACAGTTGAGTACTTGGAGTAGGAGATAAGCCAGTTGACAGAAGGAAAATGTTTCCTCTGAGCAAGCTTCTTATCTAGACCCCAGAAAACCTGACATTAAAAAAAACATGCAAAAACTTATGACTATGAATTCAGTGAGCAAACTAAATTTAAAAAATAAATAAATAAAAAAATACCTGAACAATACTGAGGGTAGCGGATGTAACAGGGTCGGAGAAATCTCCTCCAGGAGGTGATACAGCACCAACAATTGTAACACTACCATCACGTTCTGGTCCACCTAGACATTTTACTTTACCAGCACGTTCATAAAAGGATGCCAACCGTGCAGCCAGGTAAGCAGGGTAACCACTATCAGCAGGCATTTCAGCCTGAATAAAACAAAAATTAATTCCATCGTTTTTTAATCAAAATTAATAAATTCATTTCAGACAAGTAGTTTAAAATAAAAGCAAGCATACCAGTCGACCAGAAATTTCACGCAATGCTTCCGCCCAACGTGAGGTAGAGTCTGCCATCATACTTACATTGTATCCCATGTCTCTGAAGTATTCAGCTATGGTAATTCCTGAAAAGGTGAATTAAAAAACAAATTAAATTACCACTTACTACATCCTGAAAGACTAGGAAAAAAAAAAGGCTATACTGGAGCTGAAGTTACCTGTATAGATTGAAGCTTCACGAGCAGCCACAGGCATGTTAGAAGTGTTGGCCACAAGTGTAGTACGTTTCATCACAGATTCTTCACGCCCATCAGGCAATGTCATTGTCAATTGAGGGAAATCCATCAGGACCTGACCATTTATTTACAATATCAACAACTGAAACGAAAATTAAAAATAAAAATAACGAAAATTATATGCAGTGGGAGTGGAATGTGTACTTCTGCCATTTCATTTCCTCTTTCCCCGCAACCAACATAAACAACAGTATCCGAATTTGAGTACTGCAAGATGAGGGGTAAACAATAAGTATAATAAATAAAATATATATTGGAAATTAACTATTTAAATTTAATGTTGAAAATACCTTGGAGAGAGCTTGACTAATAACTGTTTTCCCACAGCCGAATGCACCAGGAATGGCACATGTCCCACCAAGAACCGAGGGGAAAAGGGCATCAAGAACACGCTAATACATACAATACATGATTAGATACGGATCGAAGGGCATAATGGTCAATGATGAAAAGAGAAAAAATAAACATCATTTAGTGAAGGGTACCTGCCCAGTAAGAAGAGGAGTATCAGCAGCAAGCTTTGATGCAACTGGGCGAGGTGTACGTACAGGCCAAGTCTGCAAATAAGAATTTGATAAAAATAAGATATCCATTGTCAAAACTTGATTATGTTAATCAATCATTATCTTAGGAAAAGAGATGTAAAAACCTGAAGCATGGTGAATTTCTTTTTGACACCTTGAAATTCAAGTTCCAAGACAGTGTCCTGAACAAAAAGGAAATAATTAATAATATAATAAGACAGATCATCTTTATTAAGATAAGGGGGTTTAGAGAAAAACCTTCAATGAGTATTGACCAGGTGGTGCAATATATGTCACTTTTCCCATGGCATCAGGAGGTAGACCAATGCGATGTTCCACTAAACTGTTCTCAAACACAGTCTGCATAAAGACAAGAAGATAAGTTAAAACCTTATGACAATTAATCTTATTCTGGATATAAATCAAACAAGAAAAAACTTTTAAATTTTAGAAATAATGGGGGATGTTAAGACTTACAGCATATAGATCTCCACCAGTTACAGAATCACCCTCGCCTGACATCAAAACACATATCGAAATTAATAAATATCTATCACACGAAAAAATTTAACTGCTGAAAGAGGGATAATGCAAAATCACCTATTTTTTTAGGCTGGAATTCCCAAAGTATATCCTTGTCAAGAGCTGGGACAGACACACCACGAGGAATGTAGACATCACCTGATATTCTTGCAATAGTCTTCAGAGGCCTCTGAATCATGTGTTTACAGATACAGAAAATTGCAGTTTGCAGTTAGTAACTCTCGAAAAAAAAACAATAAAGTTGAAACAAAATTAAATGGAAAGATAAAAGAAGCTTGCCAACCTGGATACCATCAAATATATTCCCTAAGATTCCAGGGCCCAACTCCACAGATAGAGGCTGAAAGTTAAAGTTAAAGTTACTGCATATATTGTTCAAATTATAACTATCTCCAAGAGAGTGGTGATCTAAAATGTGTACCTTGTGTGTCCGAAGAACAGGATCATTCACTGTAAGTCCGGCTGTTTCTTCGTACACTGAAATACAAGGAATAACTTTTCTCAATATTGTGAAACAAAAGATACAGGATAGTGTCATTAAAGGATATAAGAAACTTAAATAAATACCTTGAATTGTAGCAGAATCGCCTTCCAAACGGATAATCTCACCAATAAGGTTGTCATGTCCAACACGGACAAGTTCATACATAGCAGCCCCTGCCATTCCATCTGCAATGACCACTGGCCCTGAAACCTGCCACAAACAATCAAGCATAACTCAGTATAATTCTTGTAGATGACTAAAGCCCTAACTAATTTGTCAAATCTTGAATTCTTGATCTACCCAAACAAAATTGTTTGTTCTCTCCAAAGAATAGTATATTAATACAAAAACACATATCATATGATTAAAGGATCAGACAGCTTTGATGACTCAAGCACTTCACATCTTAATCATTGAGCACCATGGATAGCATTCAGCTAAAGTTCTTGATACTTTACAAAAACATGGTGTGAATGCCAATACATACACCTATGTTGAAAATCTAAATCAAACAAAACTGCATTTTCTAATCTAAAACTTGTGTTAAGAAATTAAAAATAAAATAAAATAAAATCTTGAGTGAGCATCTGAGTGATGCATGACTTTTCAGAAGAAATATAGTTTAATCATAAATCATCAATATGATGTGAAAGAGACACAATAAGAGGCTAAAAGAAATTTACTATTTACAAAGTTTCGGGTGCAGGGGATGTCCTTGATCCAAAACAGGTAAATGGGACAACTTGGAACAGGATTGATTTTGAGGCATATGTACCCGAAGTTGATTCTATTATCATTCGTAAACTCATTTGCATAGAGGTTTGTAAAATTTGACTGTATGAGAACTGTACATAGAGTCAGTAGTACTCATTTCATAATTATTGTCATTTTGGGTAAGCCTCTAGAGCAATTTATCTTTGGGCTACTCAAATTGACTGAAAAAGGAAATACTTTTATAGATCGAAAATTTAAACATAAATCACAATACATAAAAGACCAGGGTTCCAAATTGACATGCTAAGTGGATTAGCAAAGAATTTCAAAGCATTGGTCCTTCGCAAAGCGTGAACCACTGGATCGTTAAATCATGTCAGACCTGTACATACAATATCAAAATCTAGATGGCATCTGATTGTAATAATTTTAAGTTTGGAACAAATGAATAAGGAAAAAAAATCCAATCAAAATTCAAAATCAATGAAACGCAGTGAGTGATTGTTGATGGTAGTATCAAGATGGATCCGATCAAGATCAAAAACCGAAGAAAGTCAATCCGATTGAACGGAATGTTAATGAACCATGGAGTTGTATAGCAGGAGAAGAGTGAAAGATGTAGATCGGAAGGCTCACCTTGCGCACGTAACCACACTCGCTTTCCTTCTCGGAATCCTCAAAGGTGGTCAATCGAGCACCATAAGCAGACGGCATATTGAGATCGGGAGCTAGGGTTCGAATACGATTGGCGCTTCACAGATGCAACCAAGGGGAAGACGTGTAGGCAATGCTATGGACAAGAAGATGAATAATGGCGATGTGGTGGGGATCATATCAATATGTCTTCATCCTTGTGCTGTAAATCGGCCTTTGGAGTTTGGAGAGGTACTGATCGTATGCTACGCATTCAGATATGTACCAGATCTTTGCCCAGTAATACATCGCCACGTAGGCCACATCTCACGAGCTAACCGCTGGATCATTTGACTCTTCTTTTGGAGTAAGATGGTTACCTTTTCCGTTCCTTTTAGATCAAACATATGAACTTTCAAACATATCGAAACTATGGTCCTTTTGTTGTTATTTGACATTTTTATTTTAAGTAACCAATGAGGTAACTGTCCAAAAAAAAGGATTTGATTTCAATTTAATGCAACATTTTGTTGCAAATGGCTTCGGAACTAAATTTTGCATAATAATAATCAATTTTGGTCTATGTAAACATTTTGTTTTTGAAACTTTTATTTTACATGTCTTGTTATTGAATTTGTGTGGGATGTTTCTATTGTAGATTTAGCTGACCAAACATGATTTTTCATGCCTAACATTAATTTTTTGTTGATATGTGTTGGGTTTATTATAAGGTTTTATCCTATGAATAAGAGACATTTTCAACTATCACATAACTTACTTAATCTCAACTCTATTTTATTAGTGAAATACATTTTCAGGTATCACATACCGAAAAAAAAAAAAAAAAAAAAAAAAAAAGGGTTAGCTCCATTTTTAGTTTTGAAGACCGTCCTTCAATGTTTGATCATTTTTCAAGGATTCAAGGGTCCGTTTGACCTAATTTTTGGACAAATTCACATCTAAGAGAACGTTTCCATCGGTTGGTTCGCAATTATTTGTCTCAAAGCCTCGGGAATTGCAACTTTTGTTTGTTGTTGCAGCAGCCGCTATTTTTTGTGATCCTTCATTTCCCTTTGTTATTTGAAATATCTAATATGTTCAAAAGTCATATTAGAATGATGTTGTTAATTAACATATAACCCTAAGCGTCACACTAACAACTTGATATATATATATATAGAGAGAGAGAGAGAGGGAGAGAGAAAGAGAGAGAGAGAGAGAGAGAGAAAAGAGAGATAGAGTTCAAATGTTTCCAACAACTATTATATGCATCTAAGAACAAATCAGAATTAAGAAAAAAATAAAATCATTAATAAATCATAAAAATGTATAATAGTAATCTATGCACTTGCTTATATGGAAATTCCAAAGATATTTGATCAGTTCTCCTTAAGGCCTTGTTCCCGAGTTCCACTTAAGGAAAGAAATGGGAGGATACAGAGGGAAAGTGAGGGGTGTCGAAGGAAAATCGTGTTCCCGAGTTTCATGAATGGAAGGAAGGTGAGGGGAGGGGAAGGATTTATAGTCATATTTTCCTTCCAAATTTTCCTCCCAAATTGGGCGGATGTGGGAAGAAAGTGAGGGGAAGGAAAATTTTAAGTTTTATTTTCTTTTTCCTCCTAACTCGGGAATACAAAAACTAAAAATTTTCCTTTCATTTTCTTCGAACTTGGGAACACAGAATAACGAATATTTTACTTCACCTCCCTTTCTTTCTGTTAAAATTTTCCTTCCCTTTCCTTTAATGAATTTACATAAAAACTCAGGAACAAGACGTAAATTACGTCATTTTACATCTCAAAAACCCTACTCCATGAACCGATCACATCTGCAATGATTCTCCCTCTTTCCTATTATTTTCTCTTCTCTTTACTATCCTCCAATCAACGAGCCAACCTCACCATCGACGACAGCAACCACCGATTGTTGCCTTCCTCTAGTCCCAACTTCAATGTCTCATTCACTCCGTCGACATCCTATTCCTTGTTCAATCAACGATCGCCGCCACCTACTCCTTCCCCTTCATCGCCATCAATCACATCAACAGTAGTATCAAGCAGGTTTTTTACTACTTTTTTTTTTACAGAAATTGTGTTTTGTTTTTCTCTCTTTCCCATGATTTCATGAATTTTTCTCATGCTTTCGGTGCAATTTCTGGTGTTGTGAATGTGTTTGGTGTTTAATACAACTTGTTGAAGGGCTTTTACATTATATTTCAAGGTAAAGCTATGACAATTAGATAATGCACAAAAGGTGTTTGATAAAATGCATAAGAGATGTTTCGAGCCAAATTCTCGGTACTTGACTAATTCCATATTTAAAACATACTTTCTAGTAATTTTTACAATAGCATGCTTGTGAAATATTTGACCGGTTGTGTCTATGGTAAGGATGGAATTTCCAAGAAAATATTGCGAACAGACCCATGTCTTCTGTCATATTCTATGTATTCTATCATAATATATATATCAATATTTTGAAGAATCTATGCATTAATAAAATTGTAATTATCAGTAGGATACCATTAGTGTTTGTTTTTAACTTTTTCTCTCTTGCAATGTATAAAAAAACACAATTGGTGTTGTTTTTTAGATGAAATTAGTATATTATGATGTGATAGATAAGTATGAGGTTGAATGGATTTGTGTGTATGTTGTCAGAATTTATTTGTATAAATTCATTCTTTCAAAATGTTTGTATTCTAGCATAACGTATTTTATGTATTCTGCCAAAATTTATAAAATAAATCTTATCAATAAAATTATTTTAGAATGGATTAGTGTTTTTGTTAGATTTTAATGTTTTTTTTTCTTTTTAGGTTTTGAAGAGTTTGTCATTCATGTGGAAAAGAAAGAAAATATGGAGAACAAGAGTATCTTATAGTAGAATGTATTCTGCTAGAATGTATAAAATGAATCTTAGCAATATTATTCTTTCAGGATGAATTAGTGTTTTTTGTTGGGTTTTGAAATTTTCGTTACATTTGTGATAAGAATAGCTTGAAGACTTTATAAGAATGACGTGAAAAATGAATCAAAGATTGATCATACTTACAGTTTAAGAATGTTGTTGTTTTTTAAGAATTACATTTGTTATTCTTTCAGAATGTTATTATTATTCAAGAATGTTCTTTTTGTATCACAACCATAAAATATAATTATTTGATATACTATTTGTTCAAGAATCGGTTTTGTATATTGTTTCATAATGTATTTATTCATGTTTTCTTCTTATTTATGTATTCTTAAAAGATGTCATAAAATGTTATTCTAACAGAATTTCATTCTAACAAAATCGCATTCTGACAGAATAAAATAAGTTATAATCGGTTATGATTATAAATTAAATTAGAATTGAAATTGAATAATTAAAAAAAAATTAGAATTATCCTTTCAAATTCGAAAATTTCTTTTTTTAAATATAGTTAATTGTCTAAAATACCATTTAAATTAAATTTGAGTGATATTATGGTACATGATATTTCATTGTAATGTCATAGACCCTCAAAACAATAGTCATTCATTATTTCATCTATTGTTTCAGAATTCTCGTTACATGCACACAATAGTTACCTAAAACACAATAATCTAACAAGATATATATATATATATATATATATATATATATATATATATATATATATATATATATATATATAAGCACAAAAAGCTTGCATCATGAACTTTTTGGGATTAAGATTTTTGTCGCAGTTCTTTGATCATTTTGACACTATTGGCCCTTGCAGTCAAAACTTTTACATTTTAGCAAAAAAAAAAAAGCATTAGGTTTTTACCACAATTTTTTAGCCACTTTGATATTTTTGGTCTTTGTAGTCAAAACTTTTACATTTGACATAAAATACATAAAAAACATTTAGGTTTTTGCCATAATTCTTTAGGCAGTTTGTCACTTTTGGTCCTTCCAGTCAAAACTTTTACATTTTGGCATAATAAACACAAAAAAGGTCTTCAGGTGCTGCCCGAGCTTTCCTTTTGGTTTTAATAAAAATAAATAAATTAATAAATACTCATAAACTCTTATAATAAATTGGGAAAATATTTATTTCATGAAAATAATTATTTTACAATACAAGTAACACTTTATTTCATAAGGTATGAATTAATAAGTCATGCACAACCTTTTGGACTAGTTGTATCTTTTTGTCTTTTACATAAGACAAAGTTTATATTTTATAAACTTTGAGTTTATAAAATTTAAACAATTTGTCTTCTTTTTGGCTCCATGGTCGTAAGTTCTAGGAGAACCAAAGGCATGGCTCATGCATTTGTTTAATGTAAAGAAATCAACCTAAGAAGCATGGCAAGACACATTCATGACATAGGGACATGGTTGATTAATGTGTTAAGACCCAATGAGTATTAACTTAACTTTATGCATATAGATTTGGCGCTTGCATTTGGTCTTTCACTCTTATATGCCGAAATTGCTCTCTCTTACTCTCTCTTATTCTTTCAAGCAAAGGGCTTAATATTTAGTTACTTATTTTTCAATCTCTTGGATCAAATACTTGTGTATTTCTTTCCAAGATTAAGAAATTACAAAGAACTAGTATTCTCATCAAGTTGGTGCATGTTGGTGTTGTTAATCAAACTAATAGACGCGCAAGGAAACCGACAAATAACATTGAGAATTATATGTCGATTAGTTGTGAATAATAGATCCAATTATTATTATTATATTACCGAGTTTTGTCAAGAAACCAGATTTATCCTTCTCGATTAGATCCGATTATAAGAAAGGCAGAAGAAGACTGTCCTGTTATTGGACGAATTAAACACAAGACAGAAAAGTAAAACCGACCTGTTGATTGCTGACTTGATCTTGAAGCAATTGCACGGATCAGATTCCTGTCCTTAAAGGTTTTTACTTCGCTTGTATTGGCTGTAAGCAACAGAGTAAAACCCCAGGATTTAATGCAGCTAGATCGATATTCCAACAGCACTAGAAATCGACAAACACAAAGCGACTACTCGGAAACTAGAAGAAAAAACCGCAGAGAGAGGGAGAGCTTTCAAATTTTCGTGAGAGACTATATGGCTCCTTGGGAGCTGTATTTATAGGTATCATAACCCTAGAAGGCATCAAACGGGCCCCCATAGACTAGCCCCAGAAACCCTAGGGCGACAGCTTGCTCTCCAAGCAAGTTGTTTCCTAATCCTTCTAGAATACCCTGACTTGGCCTCCACGAAGTCAACGGCGGTCAACCATTTGACCGGATCGGTCAAACCGGCTTGACCCGAACTCTTCAAAAATAAAAGCTACTCAGCTCCCAGCGACCGTAACCCTAGAAGGCATCAAACGGGCCCCCATAGGCCGACCCCAGAAACCCTAGGGCGACAGCTTGCTCTCCAAGCAAGTTGTTTCCTGATCCTTCTAGAATACCC